TGTCCTGTGAAGACTGGCTAAGGGAGCTGGGGATGAGCATGAAGGAGGCTTAGGAAAGACATTATCACTCCCTCTAACTACCTGGAAGGAGGTTCTAACCAGGTGGGGCCCAGCCTCTTCTCCCAGGCAGCCAGCAATAGGATGAGAGAACACCATCTCAAGCTACTCAAGGAGAGGTTTTGGACATTAGGAGGAATTTCCTCATAGAAAGGGTGATTAGATATTGGAAGGCTGCCCAGGGAACTGATGGAGTCGCTGTCCCTGGGGGTGTTTAATGAAGGACTGGACGTGGCACTCCATGCCATGGAATAGCCGTCAAGGTGGTGTTAGGGCATAGGTTGGACTCAGTGATCTCAGAGGTCTTTTCCAACCTAATTGATTCTTTGATTCTGTGAATTATGGAATCTCTTTCCTGCAGCTTTCCCTGCTAGTTGCAAAACAGATCAACCAGAGCTCAGCCTCTTTTTACAGAAAATTATTTTTTAAGTCATTTTGCTAGCTATCGTTGTTTGTCGTAATACAGACATACATATTGACCAAAAACACTTTTAAATTTCAAACTAATGCAGATTTATTTAGCTGAAGACTAGAAATCCTTATGTAATTTCAGAATTACAGCATTTCCTTCTCAGAAGGGATCAAGACATGAAGCCTAGCTTTTCTTTTTGTGCCATAATTGCATTACGTTTACAGGAAGCAAGTGTTGTAGTATGTAGTGTTAAATCAAATTAGTGATTCATAAGAGACTGGAATACTGTATCAAGTTCAGGAACCTGTCTGATGTTGTATTCCTGTCTCTTGTTAATTATTTGTTTCTTTAAATGTAGCACATGTTATTCTAAATTTCATAGTTGTTAGACTTTGAGAATTGAAAAGATAGGCTAGTCATATACATCAGCAAAATATTGTTTGAGAAAGGGGAGTTTGTTTTTAATTTTTGCCTCCTAAGTAAAACCAAATAGACTAAAAGGGTCACTCAGATATTGTAATTTAGACTCCATCAGTCTTTCTGAGGAGGATGTATTGACTATCTGATTGCTTCTCTGTGGGAATTTCAGACAAACTTTCAAATACCAAGGTCCTGTCTGTTTAGTGGGGCTGCTGACAGCACTTGAAGTCCCCATTAGATTATTCACAGATCTTTTTGAGGGTGGCCTTTATCAACATTTTCCCTAATTCCTCTGAAGAACAGCATGCTTTTTGTCAATTGTATTCTGTCTTTCATCTGAAAGATAAGTTTCTTTGGTGGCCATGGTTCTTTATCTCTGTAGTGCTTGTGAAGTATATTGGGATGCTCAGCATGGACGTGACAGCACAGAATATTTTTAGCAGTAGAAGGCTGTGCTTGGCAGTGTCTGGTTTGGTGAGGAGAGGCAGTCCATCAGCTTGCTGCTGGTTCCCAAAGCACTTGCTGTCATTTGCTGCTGGTGTGCCTTGGTCCCTCTGGCTGCTGTTTGGAGCCAGGCCGCCTGGCTCCTGGTTGTGCATCACCTTCCTCGTTTCCTCTAGGGCCCATGGGAGGTCTGTGGGAGCTGCCTCTCCTGTCCCAACAAAGTCTTGTGGGTCTGCAGCCACCTCCCCTCTCAAGCAAGAGGCAGCTGGCACTTCTGCATGCCCAGGGGCAGGGGAGCAGAGACCAGTGTCTGCTGGCTCCCTGTCTTAGACACCCTCACCATCCCCAGCTCTAGCTCCAGGAGCAACTAATGATGTTCAAAGTACACATCCCAAATACTCCCCCATTTTCATCCTTAATTAGTAAGTAAGCTGTCTGCTGTGCAGGGAAATGAAGCCACAGACCTAAGAGCAATTGCAAAGTGTATGCTTTTTGGACAAGCAGGGCCAAAGCCAAGCTATGCAGAGGAAGCAGATAGCTAGTTTAAAGGTTAATCGCATTTCAGAAATAGAGGGAGGGAGATGCATTACAATGCTTCATTGGAAAAATGTCAAAAGGCATTAGCTGCTGCCTGAAATATATGAAAGGGAACAGCATTAACTTTGCTCTTCATTTTGCGTGGAGGTGAAATGAAGTATTTCACCATTTACCTTTGGGAATTAAGATGTAACATGCTTTAAAGGTCAGTTCCTTTGTTTTGGGGATTCTCGATAGAAACAGGAAATAAAATTTGTTTTCCTTTGCACATACTTTGTCACCTTAGCATATCATACCACTATATGCTTACCTATGGCATGAATAAATACATGTACATACATCTGCCCTTAGTGCCCTAAGCAGCATTGTATTTCACATGCACAATTGTCTTTGTCAGTGTGCTACATACATAACGTGTGTGTTCAGGGAATAGCATGCCTGGATAGTGTTACTTGCCAATTAAAACAGGTCGACCAGGCATATTCATACATTCCAGCCTCCTGACGAGTTTCAATTACTGCTATTTTTAACTTGCCAGAGGATATTTTTTTCTTATCTTTCACCTTCCAAAAATACATACCTTCAAAAATTAGAAGAGCAAAACTGCCCTTTTGGACCTTAATGTATTCTTCTAGAGATAAAATTTTTCTGGCTTAAAAATCCCTATGAACATAAATTTGTACTAGACTAAAAATAGGTTTTTTGTTTTTTGGTTTTTTTTTTTGGAATTAGGGAGTTACCTCTTTCAAAAGAGACAGGGTTAAAACTGACTGTGAGAACAACCTACATATTGGATTTCTAAATCATGACATTTTTAAATAGGTTTTCTATACAAATTGGTTTTATGCTTCAAGGCTTCACTGCTCCTATTCAGGTGCTCTGCATATTGCAGAGCTCCATAAGCTCATACTAAATTATCCTTTCTGCTGTCTGAGCCTGTATTCCATCAGTGGCCACTGTCTATGAACTGTGTACACATGACTAGCTCCATGTATGTATCCCTTCCCTGGGACCTGCTTTTCTCTGGATGCTTCCCACACGCCCCTGTCTCTTGCCTCCATGGCAGGAGGCAGTGTGCAGGTGTTACTCAGCGGGAGCAGCTTGTTCCAGATTTCCTGTGGTCTCACCTGTCAGCTGTAACCATAGACTGGCTTGCTTGTCCTTCCCTTCCCATGGTCTTCTACCTTGCACATGCAGATGGATAGTGGCCCTTCTTCTCAGCCTGGTTTTCCAGGCTTCCTACACTTTTTCAACAAAATAGAGGAAAATAGAGGAAGGGGTTTTCTGGAGTCATGCCCATTAGCTCAGCCTGCAGTAGGGATGTGATTTAGTTTTGGTATGGGCATATGTCAACATCTCTGTCAAATTAGAGGGGTTTTGTGTAGCAGAGTTCACTCTGCCTTTGTGCCAGCTGTGGGAAGCAGCAACAGTGGAAGTGCCAGCTGGTCTCCACAGATACTGCCTATGAACACAGTATTTTAAAGCTGATTTTGGGATCTCCAGTGCCTCTAAGCTCTGGCCTAAAATGCCTGCAGTTTCTTAAGCAAGACCATTGGGTCCAGCTGAGCTAAGCCTCCTTAAGCAAGCATGGTATTTTTTAAGTAGTGTATTTTGAGGGACAGTAATTACCCATGCATCATCACAACATGGCAGGCATTGGAGCATCTCCAGCAGCTTACAGAGACTAAATATGACAAATAAACATCACAAGTGATGAAGCCAGGGAGCAGCATGCTGGAACTGAGGGATACTCTCTCTGCCCCATCAGGATGAGAGCCAGGAAGGGTTCCCAGGCTCCAGCTCAGTGCAACATTTCACTATATGCTCACCTTTAATATAAAATGTGTTCCCTGCCAAAGCAAAAGGGACAGGCTTAAGTCTTCTCGCAAGCACATAATGTTCCTATTTCCACAGAATGATGTACATGATCCTTGATCTGTATCCAGGATGGTCCTTTACTAGAGGTATTCATAAGTAAAGCAATGTTCTGAGAGTAACAGTTGTACACTTACCTGCTTTTATTAGATATATATAATTTGGAATTTAAAAGAAGACACAACCAGCTATAAAGAATAAAGTGAGAATCATACCAGAGCATTTTGCTGTTGAAGGATTACAGCAGAGATGCTCTTCAAAACAGAGCATGAAACACAGCTGGTGAAATAATTTCTGACAATTAGCCCATCAGCAAAGGGAAAATTTATTGTAGATAGCATTGCTATTTATAATTATCCATTGCAATTGTTAATGATCTCATTAGAAGGAAATCTGTTGTAATCTCTCAAGAGAGGAACACCAAAGAGCTCAGTGTTGGTACTCAGTCACCTTCCTCTGAAAGCATGACTTTGTAGTGCCAATGGGACAGTATTGACATCTGTTTGCTGCTTTCTTCTTTCACTGAAAGTGGAGTTTACCTTCAATTTAGTTTCCTTTATTAAAGTATTGTGATAGTCTTTGGGTTTCTCAGCTTTGTTTGTTAGGCTGCCTCTTCTGTTCTGCAGTTGGTCACACCACCCCTGTACACTCAGGCACAGTGTCCCTTGTTATATGGCATTATCTTTGTTTTCTTCTTGAAACAAAGACAATTCTTCACAGTGTTTACAACTGAAGTATCTTAATGTCAGATTGAATGGTTCACATTTTTTATCACTTTTATTGCAAGTAATAATTAACATAATTGTCTTCAGAAGTGAGTCTCAGCACCCACCCAGGACTTCTTCTGTAGCAAGCAAGGTTGAGTTGGTTAAAGCACATTTGTACAAATCTCTGTTAAAATTAAAACTGTTGTTATCACTAAAAGGAAAAGCCCAGGAGGTTGCTGGCTGGTCTCTGCAGGTAGAGATTGTGGCTTTTGCTCTGTCAGAGCACAGCTGTGAAATCCATTTCATCCCCCTGAAGCTGGAGCAGTGAGCCCATGGCTCAGCCCATCCTGGGTTGCTGCTTCAGCCACTTGGACTGAACTTTTAAATAACATAAATGAATGATAAATCTGATTTCTCAACATGTCGTGCCAAGCTGTCTAGTAGCTCTAGGATATTCTGTCAAGCCAAAGGTGTGTTTTTAGCCTGACTTTGTGCTGTGTGTACTGTCATAGTAGGCACTTACTGAGACCAATCTTCTTTGTTTACAGATGAGGTCTTGTCAGAAAACTTTTTGGACTACAAGAACCGTGGTGTCAATGGCTCTCACCGGGGTCAAATTATTTGGAAGATTGATGCCAGCTCTTACTTTGTGGAGCGTAAGTATTTTTCCAATTCTGCTATGATTTAATTCAATCACTCCAGAACAGTAATTCAGCTATTACTGTTGCTTTTATGATGTTCTTATGCCCAAAATGTGCCTTAGAAAAGGCCAAAAATGTTACCAAAATTGCTGAATGTGTTGATAGAAACTGAAGCACTTATGGAATAGTAACCCACAGTTTCTGCAAACAAATTTAGTGGGCATTGACTTAATTACTTTTAATACAGTTCTGAATATGTGTTTTACTCAATTTGCTATTATTTGGACTAATGAGCTGCATTAACTTTAATATGGTTTTAGGGAAAACAGGAAGTCAGGGACCTAATATCTCTCCAGGAAGAATCACATTGGCTTTTAATTGGAAAACTTCATGGTGCATCTGGCTTCTAACAGACTCAGGTGAATTCAGAAGTTGAAAGGGTCAAGTTCTGATTACCATCTACACTAATAAAAGTGTAACTATATGTAGTTGCAGCAAGATACATTGAATTCAAATTAATTGTTCCTCATTATATTAATATTTTATCCAGGGCATTTGATACAATGCAGTATAAATCTTTTCCATCGTAGCAGTGAAAATATAGAAACACTGGATTGGCTTCTGAAAAGTGCTAGGTTCCTTATACAGCAAATTTTTATTTCCAGCCCTGACTGTCACATCTCCCTGACTATTCAAATCCTTCCTCTTTTCCATGAGATTTACCTTGTGTTAGTGTAAATGCAATTTATGATCATCTTTGGATAGAAATAAGGTACTCAAAATACTGGACTGAAATCTGTAGCAAAACATCTGTGATGGAAGAGCCACATATATGCTTGAGGAGTTAAGCATGAAGAAGAGTAGCATGAAGCAATTTCAGTTTTACAATTGAACTGCATATTCCCAATGATCTGCCTTAGCCTCCTGGACAAAATTCAGAAGTTTGGTAAAAGCATTTATAAATTGCTTGACAGGTATATCTGTCTAAGAGTGTCTATATTTGAGAGCAGTCAAAGGAATCTTTGATATAACCTGTATTTTAAAGGATTTGTAAAGGACATGAGTTGTGCTTGTCCAATCTATGACTTAGATCTTAAATATCTGGTATCAGCAAGGGTGTTGCATGCAATCATTTTACAGCTGCTCAGTCCTAGAAGCAGGTTCTCTCTTTGCAGTATTAAGCATTGCTGATGGTCTGTAATTCCTAGTGTGAAACTGAGAATGTTGTTCTAAAGAATTTAGGGACCTGCTGAAATGTCTACAGGACATACAGGATGTTTATATCCTGTGTTTTGAAAAATACATGGATGGGAAACCGCTTAACGTACAAGAACACGGGGTTTTTTCAGTTATCCTGGTTTTGGGGCAGAAATTCATTACAGGATCTAACCTTTAAGGCAGCCTTTATTTTGCAGAGGCTTTGAGCCATGGTTACAAATTCATGGAACTGATCATATTTTCTTTTAGCTGTTAAAGAACTGTGGGAAGGAGTAAAATATCCCAGACTGGGTGTTTGATACCTTGGATTATTGAGGAAGGGCAGAATTGTGATGAGACTGCTGGTAGCTTCCTTGGCTAATCCACAACGCAAAACAAAGAGGCAACATGAGAAGTGCTTAGGAGAAAGCCTCTTTAAGGAGGGCCACTTTTCATTAAAGGCTCAAATGCACAATGAATTATGTCAGCTTAATAGGTTGCCCCCATTAGCAGAGACACAGAAGCTGTTGTTAATTGATTGCATGTACATTCTTCACTTGCCCTACTGTAAGAAAATGCAAATTAGCGTAACCATCCTTCATTGATGCTTGGATCTAAGTTGTACTACACCATAGCTGGGCAGCCCATGCTTGATGAGTTGCTGCCTCTTGGTAATTTGTTATACTCCAACCATTAGGTTGTGTACATCAGTTCTGAGATTTTGTACCAGTGTGGTCATCAAGGACAAATCATTGCCCTGTCCAGAATTAAAATAGGAGAAAATGAAGTAGGCAGTAGTAAATAACAGCACGTGCAGATACTCTGAGAGCTACTTGACTACTCAAGTGGGAAGTTAAAGCAGTGAAGAATGTTGATGTATGCTGGTTTTATATATCTAAAGGCATATTTGAGGATTCCTGCCCATTGCTGAGACTTACATATGAAAGCACACAGCTTTGCAGATGATTAAATGTTATGTTAAAAACTGCAGTGTCTGAAAACCTTGTGTATTTTCTATCCAGAGAGGATGATGTAAACCATCTTCCTTCAGACTTTTAGTTTTTAGACAGAGATCATATCTCCCTTTTATGTTGCATAGCATAACATTTGCAGGGATCAGAGAGATACTGGTTACCAAAATAAAACTCACCTAAGAAATGTAGCTAAGGTGTGGTAATTTATTTTGAAGGTATCCATATTATTTTCCCATATACTGTTAAAATCCCCTTAACTTACTATTGATTGGAGTCTTCCTGATTGTGGCATTAATTCTCAAAAAAATAGAGTAGCTCACTTACAAAGGCAGCTCTTCATTTCTGCTTTTGCCTTTCCTGTAACTATTCATACTTTGATATCTTTTTACCACATGAGTCAATAGTGACTATCAACACATTGCTTCAGAAAATATTATGGTATAAATTGCAGTCTTTGTCCTGGAGCTATAATAAAGGGGAGATCAGTGTATGGCCAAATAAAGAATTAGCCTTAGATAGAGAATTTAAATTTTTCAAGAATTTTAGGCACCCCATGCAGATTAGTTTATACCCTGGCCTTGAAATATTAAAGGTTAAATATTTTTGGTGGTGCTATTGTGTGAGGCTTATTATAGGGAGACCATGGGAATTATCCTGGCCAACCTCAGAAGCCAAAATTTTTTTGTTGTCAGTTAGACTGTAGGACTCCTCACAGCTTGTTTTTGTACCACATTTAAGGAAATTACCCTTATGCTGTGAACAGCCAGCCATCTGACAGCTTACAAATAAATCTTTGAGCCTTTTTTTATTAAAGAGCTTTGTGGGGCAACTTGAAAAATCAGAGATATCCAAGACTAGCTGATTTGTAACTCCTATTAATAGGCAAAAAAGCATTAGAAAAGAGGTCAAGTATATAGAGGGTTATTACTCATTTCTATATTTTGACTATGGAGGCACATATAATATGCTTAGGAGCATTTTGTTCAAATGCATAATATTCCACAGTCACTTATCCTTGCTTTCCTGCATTTTTTGAAAGTTAACAAGCAAATGAAATATGATTCTCTAATTATGTAACCTGTAGTCATTATACATAAACCCACTCTTTAGGTACTTAGCAGATTGCTGACATCTTATCACTGTAAATAGTAGCTTGCATGCAATGGGCAGGGACCTGGAATAGGAATGAGTGAAGGGAAGAGCCTCTGGAAGTCATTTTCTTCATGGCAGCAGATTATCACAATGAAATCTATCAAACACAGTTGTAATGATAGTTACTGGCCAAATCAACCAACCTGCAGGACCACAGTAGAGAGGAATTGTGCACGTGGTCAGAAGAAACTAGTAATATATTGTGAGAGATTTGTAAAGGCGCACAAGGAGTGGAGAGCACAAAGGAAGACGTGAAAAGAAATTTCAAACATTTTCTTCCTTAATTGCACTTCTTTTATAAAACTGAAATTCTACAATTTTAGATGCTGCTCTGTTGTTGAAGCTATGCTTTCATGCTATTCTCACTTGATTGCCCGGTCAGAATCTTTAAGGGTTCTTCTTTCAGGTATAATTTAAATCTCACCAGTTAAGTAAATGCTTTCTGTGAGATCAACGAAAAAGCAAAATTGTTTACTCCTTTTGGAACATGCTTCTATGTTTGGAAGTATTCGGGCAAAATATGTGTTGCTTTTGAATTTGCTAATAGCCTGATTTAGACCATCTACAAAGCCCTGTCAGTTTTCAAAACACAGATAATTCCTTAATATCTACCTGTGCAGCATTTTCAGATGCCACAGACATTTAAAGCTTGTATTTGTTTTAGCAATCTACTTTTTCCCCTTGAAAAGGACGAGTGCCTTTCCCAGAGAAGGGTATGCCTTTCCACTTTGCGTGTCACCAACTTGCAACATAATGTTGCCAGATAGATACGTAATTGGTACAAGTCAGAGAGGGAATTGCTTCCAAATGCCAGTAGAACAGAACTCATCTCCTATTAATACCCAGGAAACAAAAAGCCCCAACAGCTGAAGAGGCAGTGTTGTACTACAGCCAGTTTTGCAATTCTGCAGCAGTCTGGCAATTTGGGTTTTTCTGACAAGTCAGTGATGAACAGTAACCACCCACTGTGGGCATGAACTGGTCAGAGTTTGAGGGGAGGGAGGAAGGAGGAGTGAAGAGAGGTTCTGTGCCACTAGGGATGTGAACCTTGTGTTAAGGCTTGGAGGGCATTGCAGTGAAAGAACCATCCTAGGTGGGTTTTCCAGGAAAGGAAATACACTCTGCTGCACTGCAATTTCTGGCACGTTTTTTGGTTTACACAGCAATATGGAGAGAGGGTATCCAAGAGACCATTGCACTGAGTTGGGTTGCAGCAGTATCCTATAAACATTGTATCAAACTAGCGTATCCTTACAATGATGGGTAATATTTTGAAGCTATTCAGAATTGCACTGAAGATAGCTAGATAGCTGGTTCCCCTCCTAATCTACAGGCATCTCTAAAGATTGTTCACTACCTGACAACTAGAACCTCTTCCAAGGGTAACCAGTCATCTGTGTTGCATTTTTATTTGAAAAGTTATGGAGCAGTTGTTTGGTTAAATTTGTTGCTGTTGCTGTGGCTGAATTTTTAATAACAAAGATGAATTACAGGCCCTTGCAGAAAAAAGAAATAACACTCATTTATTCCTATTGGCTAGAAGGGAAATAACGGTAAAAAAAGGTGCAACTTAAGTCAGATATCTGAGAGATCCTGGTACATCTTTAGATAGAAGATGTATATTCTATGTTATGGTCTATATATGCTGTATATTGCATGCATTTATGGAGTACGTACAGAAATGTCCCCAAA